TCAGTCTGTTCATATATATCTGTCTATGTGTTATATTCCAAAAAGAACATAATATTAAAGCTTCACCCACTTGAAAAGATCAAAGGGGTAAAAGAGTAATGAAACAAGGCAGCAAGCCTGTTCATGCCTTTCTTTTATCTCTTTTCTCTTTCCTTTCGTTAGCTTTTCTATTCATTTTTCTCTAGCTTTCTTACCCACTATTTTCCCTCCTTCATTCTTTCCTTCTTTTTTTTTTTTTTAGATTTGGTGTTACTTATGCCTTTCCAGATCTGTTGCCATATTTGGAGTTAACCGGTGTGTGTGCAGCCCTTTTTATACTGTTGAGATAACATTGGAAGTCACACTTTGATTCTAGACAGAGTGCGCAGTTGCACTGACCCATATGTAAATGTAGAAGCATCAGAGTCAGCTGATATTTTGTTAAATGAAAACATCTGAAAGATGTTACAGGAATTATTTCGACAGGTATTGTTTTGATGATTATCAGCTAAGTAAAGTGGATTTCACAAGAAACATGTCCAATGACTCTGACAAGGAAGGTCACTGAGTGGAACAAGACCCTGGGTTCTTGATAAATTACTTTTTAGACAAAGATGACAAAAGACGCTGTCCTCTATAAGACAGTGGTCACTAGCAGCCGAATACAGAGAGAGCCACAGAGAGACAGACATAAGACTGCCTTGCTACGGATGGAAAATGCACCGGTTAGATTGTTCACCACCACTCACCTCTGCTTTGCTCATCTACAAAACAAGGTTAAAATTTACCTACTGCTACAATAGGGAAGGAGGCACGGTAGAGTAATGGATTTGGGCTCGGATTGAGGAATCGTAGAGCCAAGTTTGAATCCAGTCAAGTTCATTACAGTCGCTTATGTACTAATACCCTTGGGAAAGGTATAAACCCAACTCTTCTCTCCCAGCTATCGGTAAATAATAGGACAGACTGAGTTCTATAGCCTTAGGTGGCAACCGGTCTAGGAGAAGGAAAACTGAATTCAAAACTGTATGTAGCCCTGACGAAGCACATACTATATAGTTAAGGAAATGACTGTTTGCATTCACTCGATGATATTGATTATGGTCGACTTCTTACAATAGTCTCGTAGTTTCATTTCATCTGGCCAAAGAATGTGGAAGAAGCTGAACTTTGAGAATGAACCTGGTGTCTGGTCTGAGCTGAACTGCTACATAAATAATTCCATTGTTTTTGACAGGTATGCTGCTAATAAAGATGAAATTATTAATTCAAATAGATTGTTGAATTACCAATTTTCTGGGTCAAAATAAAATCACAAATAAAATTCCAATAGTTCTAATAAACATTTATTTGTTAAACACAAAATACAGAATTCCACAGTATCATGTTTTCTTTATATCTTTTATGAGAATAATATCAAAGAAAAGATTTCATTTTTCATTCTCTACTGTAATCATATAATTTGAGAAAAACTTGTGTCAGTTATTGTGATATTAAATTAAAACAATTGTCCTTATTCATTAAAACGTTTACTGCCACAAAATGCCTGCATATAACGTATCATATTAGTATTACATATTGCCTATGATGTATCATATTACATATTGCATGTCATGTACCATATTATATATTGCCTATGATGTATCATAGTTCATATTGCTATCATGTATGATATTACATATTACCTATTACATATTGCCTATGCTGTATCATATTGCATGTCATGTATCATATTACATATTTTCTATGATGTATCATATTTCATATTGTTATCATATATGATATTACATATTGTCTATGATGTATCATATTACATAGTGCTTACATATTGCATGTCGTGTGTCATATTACATATTGCCTATGATGTATCATATTACATATTGCCTATGATGTATCATATTGCTTATGATGTATATATCAATTACATAGCTTTTTTATGCCTACATTTTTATCATTCTGAAAAATGAGTATAGTTCTTATTTAAAAAAATAATGCCTATAATCTTTTAAATAAATTTAATAAACTCTAATATTCCATAAAATAAAGGTTATTTTCTTATACATTTAATTTATCCTCAAAATAAGGGTAATGTTTTTAATTATGCTATAATTTCTCAGAATAGCGTCTCTAATTATTCCTTAAAATAATGTCGATATTTTAACCCCAATAATGACGATATTTTCAATTATAATATCAAATAATGCCTATACTTTAAGTGTCAAAATAATATATATATATTTTTTTAAATTATTCTTTAAAATAATACTTATTATATTTTTAATTATTTCACTAAATATCAATAAAACTTCTTTTTGATAATATTTTGTTTGTCTTATATAAAGAATTACCGTAGCAGAGAAACGCTCCACTTGATATTATAAAGCAAGAAAAAGTGGAAATGTTTATATCGTAATGCCTGCAAAAACAAAACAAAAAACAAAACAAAACAAAACAAAATAAAAATACCACTATTACTGGATACGCTTTTGACTCCCTCGGCAACGTTTATTTACAAGATTGT